GAAGCCTCAGTAATTAAAGTCAAGATCAACGTTTCTCAGTTTTTTTTTAATTAGTTAAGAGGAAACGACATCAGAATTTCCTGACATTGAGACAAAATAACAAACCGTGTTGGAGAATGACCCCACAAGGAGCTGACGGACATTTTGAGTGCGACCAGTTTCTACTTTCTACGGAATGTTAACACAAAGGCGGGGAGAGAGAGAGAGGATTTTCGGGAACGTGATCTGAGGTGTGACGAATAAAATTGCGGACGCGTATGGATGGTGAAATTGGGTTACGTACGCAAACGGAGAAATTCATCGGAGTTTTAGCATGCTATACACTAGTGAAGAGGTGATGTTCGTAATAGGAAAGTTCAGGTTAGGATGCAACGGATTGCGAAAGGAGGGAGGGAAGGAGTCAATCGTCTGTGCCGTTCAGCTTTTGATCTTCCCCAGGAAAATTCCTTACTGAGTATTAATCATTGTTAACAAATTTAAAACATTATAATATCTATTAAAAACAATTATTAAATTATTGATAATGAACAAGAGTTTTCCTTGATTTGCTGAGTCTTGCGGGATAGCGGGAAATGCCCAGTTTAGTTTGGTCTCGTTTAATAATATGCATGAACAACCGCCACAACTGTCCAGTTTCGAATGCAGAGGTTGAAATGGGTGCCGAGGCGTCTGGTGCGTTCGCAGGCGCTTGAAAGTTTCCTCCCATTCTTATCCCATAACACTACGTACGTAATTAAGAAGAAGGGACAGAGAAAGTTACACCCTGTTTCATATCTTCCTCGACAACATCATGAGACTGCGACATGTCCCGATGAAAACGTAACGATTTCCCTATGATGAGTTTGGAATAAGCAATTGGCAGAGGAAACGTGAATTCTTTTATCTCTTAGTTGGGGGTAAACAATGGCATGTGCGACTGTGCCCTTCAATCATTGTCGATAATATTATTGGTGCTCGCATAAGAACAACCAGTACTTTTTTAATCTCAGCTACGGAACGCATGGACAAACTCTGGAGTACAAGTCTCGATCCGTGCATAGAAAGTAATTGCATGTAATTTATTTAGGGAAAGAAGAATGATCGGCATAAAGACGAAGTACTTTCCTGAACGCTGCCAACCGTATCATGTTATTTTTAGCTAAGATTTCGTCCAGAGTCGGTCAAAGTTAAACGACAAGGAAATGTAGCCTCCAGGAACTACAACGGTCCATCTACTGGCTTGAGTTCCTTTTAAAAAGGGAAAATGACCTTTTCCGCCATGTAAGATCATTAATTACAATTACGACCTATCTATAATTGTAAATTGTGATTACCAATTAATAACTTCGGTGGTCCGTAAACGTCATTTCCCCTTTTCAAAAACCTGGGATGGGTCAAGTTGGCGGGCTAGCCCACTACTCGTGGACTTCTTCCAAGTATTTAGCTCTGAGAACTGAGAAGGCTCCATGGGGATGAAACGTGTTGCTTGGGACCCGCTAAATTGGATCCTATTTTTAACACGTGTACTGATGCTCTCTAGACCCCATATCATGGCGATATCGCTAGAGTCCCAGAACGCGTTCTCTGTGCTCGTAGTCGTAGTTGACCAAAGAAGGATCGGCGCAAGTAAGCATTCCTTCCCACTTGCACGGAGGGAAAATATCTGGTTCGCGCCAAGGCCCAATAAGCTTTTCGTTGTAGCAGCAGGAACGGGAGAGTGTAGAGAGGGGGATTTCTGGTCCGACCGGGACAGAAAGTCAGAAACCCGGTCCTATAAACTTCTCGATCAAATTGGTTCCGACCGGGTAATTTGTTTATTCCCGGAACCTTGATTTCATATTCTCTACTCTATTTTGTCCAAAAGGTATCTTCCATCATCCTAAATGCAAGATTTTCTAGCTTTGTCTTTTAACTTTCAAGTGCGTTCCTGCAGCACTTTTCGCATTGAGTTAGTAACCAAAAAAGTGCTACTTTGGACTGGATCCATCTTTAAATTTGATAACACACACGTGTCTTCTTTAATTACAGTTTCCACCGGGAATGGACTTGGATGAGAATGTCGCAGAAATAGAAGAAGACAAGGGCCATGCTTGGACGTTATGTGTACATGCTTTCAATGATTTAACCCATGTCTCTCCGGTGGTATTCGTATACCTGCTGAAAGAATCTTATTTCTATGGTATGATTTCTCCTCCTAGCACTGCTAATATCTGTTTTATGCGAGAGGATACGACGATGAATGCTAACTGTTTGCTCAAATGTTTCGACGCACTTTTCCTAGAACTCTAAAGCTGACGAGATTAACATGAAAATATGGAGCTAAAGACAAGAATTATTATCATTCCTCTACTTTATTGGCCGACATCTGTACTCGAGAGACTAGCATTGTACCTTGACACCTAGGTGGAGTTTTGAGAAGTCTATAACTGATAATTTTTTTTATTTAAGCGTTCCCTCGGAAATGCGGGAATCCCTGACAAAGTTAGTAACCTAATTTTTAAGTTAATTTAAAAACGTCTTTCTGGGTTATCTTTTACAGCGAATAATGCCTTGCTACATTTTTTGCTGTTTTACAGATGCTCTTTTGCAAATAAATTGAAAATACTTATTACAACTCGTGGCTCGGTCTCACAATAATGCATCTTTTTTCTTACTCCTTTCTATGCTGTTTTTGTTTGAATGGCATTGCATAGGCACAGTTAAGGCGACAACAAAGTTCCAAGCCCTTCAACATCAAGTCTATCTTGTGTTGCATAATGACCCACAACCTGGACCAGCTGCTTTTGTTGTACAGTGCTTATACGTGTCACCTTTATATAATGATTGTAGCAGCGGCTTTAGTCATTTGATTATATCTGCCCTAGGTCGTTTCCTGAAAAAAGCAACCACTTCAGAAAACTCCTTGGAAGCAAAAGACTTGGCTACCCATCTATTCATTGACATTGTTGTGGGGCAGGTCTTTCATGATGAAAGGATTATTGTTAAAATATTAGAAACTTTTGATATTAAACTAAAAGATGTTGAGAAAATCATGGTCCAAATGAAAGCAAAGGATGGTTCAAGTCATGTAACTGCACAAGATTTAATGGAGAAGTATATTTTTGAATTGGTAGAATCCCAACTGTATATGACAGCTGTCACTCTGATGGAGCGCTTCTCTATCTTTTGTTTTGGCAAGTCTTTTCTCCTTACCCTGGTACAGAGCCATCAGTTTAAGGCAGCAGAGAAATGGGCAACATTTGTGGGGAAGCCAATGTTATGCACTCTTGTTGAGGAGTACTGTGAGAGGAACTTGCTAAAGAATGCCTATGAGATTATAAAGATGAACAATCTACAGCAAGATTTCCCAGACGCCTATCGAAAGTGTAAAGAAAGGCAAGTAAATTACAGCTGCCAATATGTGGTGGATTTGTGTATTCTCATTCTTCTTCTATTTCTTAATTACTCGATTACTTTATCGATTTGCAGTTCAATAAAGAAGCTAGCAGAAAAAGGATGCTGGGATGTGGCTGAGGCGAGAATAAATGGTGATAGACAGCTTATTGAGTATTTGGTTTGTGATTCTTTTCATGATGGCTAGCATTCTGTGCATTCTATGAGATGCATAAAATCACAATGCCGTGGAGGCGCGGATTTGTGGAGCTATACTTTTTAAACTATTTTCTTCATAGTAATATTTTAATGCATGTTATTCATTAGCAATCATGTGAAGCTGTATTTGATTTACATTAATATGTTGATTTTGCTAATGCTTATGCAGCATACTTCTTATTTCCCCTTAGGCTCTCAGCTTCCTTTTTCTTTTTATTTTTATTTTTATTAATGCCCTTCTTGTTGACCAAAAGCTTCAAGAAAGAGTTGAGAGAAAATATTTTACCTCGCAATATCCTATATAACTATATCAGCCTCTCCTTGGAAACTAGGTTGGAATTGACAAGTGGGTATCATTAATGCGTCAAATAATCACCGTAAAAATGTGGCATATCTACTGAAAGAATCAAGGATAAATGCATAAGCTTTTGAGGTGAAGAAAGTAGTCTTTCAGTTATTTACTGTTTTGAAATGACAATGTTGTAAGGCTTATCATTGATTATCCAGAGTAGCTAAGTGTTGTCATTTTTGACAGCTTGATAGCCCCCCTTTTTGTCCAACTGAAACCTTAGTATATGTATGCTATATGATCTTTACTTCTGTGTTTAAGGTTTATTTGGCAATGGAAGCTGGATACACAGAGAAGATTGATGAACTGTGTGATCGGTACTCCCTTGATGGGATTCTGCAGAAAGGTATGTCAATAGTCAAATTGATGGGGAAAAGCTGTGGTCTCTGACTGACTGCTTTGTCTAATGTCACAAGATTAGTTGTTGCTTGACCTTCATAAAAGTTTCTAATCATCCTGGTTTTATCATTTCTTCGGTCTAGTCAGCTGTTATGTTGAAATATCTGCACTATTATTCTTCTATGACAAACAGACTAATTTTCATATGCCTTGCAGTACCTGATGAAAGTATTCAACACAGGCGTTATTTGCATCTTGATGAACTGTTTGTCGAAGACATTATTTGGGTTGACGAATATAAAGGTTTGCTTGATGCAACTACCCATATTGAGGGTTGTAAAGTTATAGGTGTCGATAGTGAATGGAAACCTAATCATGTAAAAGGCAGCAAACCAAATAAGGTAATATACAATGAATCCCCTGATAGATTAGTGTTTATGCTTCCATTTTTTTCACTGTTGTATTTACTTGTATGAAGTTTTATGATATGATTTTCCTGAGCAGAAGTTTAGCTCTCCATTCTCCTGTTACCCCTTTTGTTCCACCCGCAACTTTTCCCCCTTTTGAATGAGAAAATAACAGATTTTTCCATGTCTCAGGCTTCTATCTTTCAAATTGCTTCCAAAAGTGTGGTTTTCATCTTTGATCTGATAAAGTTGCACCAAGAGGTACCTGACATTTTAGACGACTGTCTGACCCGCATTTTGCAGTCACCAATAATATTAAAACTTGGTATGAATAATTCAAATTCATCAAGCATATTTATCTCCACTTCTTTGGATGGGCTCAGCAAAATACTTACGCTCAATAAAGGCAACTCTGTATATTTTGTGGGATGACTGTTTTAACTTGACTGTGAAACGAGAATGCTCATATTGAGATAAAATAGATAGTACCTTCTTGCCTTCCATTGGAAGAGCATCGGATTGGATAGAGGCTCATTTGATGCATCTCATGAGCAAAATTGTGATGATTGCTCCTTCTGGTTTGTGCTTTCAGGGTACAATTTACAATGTGATATAAAGCAGCTTGCTCATTCATATGAAGAGTTAAAGTGCTTCAGGCACTTTGAATCGTTGCTGGACATTCAAAAGGTTTTTAAAAACCATCGTGGTGGTTTGTCTGGGCTTGCAGAGGTATCTTATGCGCACGCATCCTTTTAGCATCTCTGTTCTCTTAAGGTGTATGCTACTCAGGATTCATAAGGAGTTGTAACAAATTGGACAAAAAACTTTAGTTTTACTGTCTTAGCTGATTTTACAAAACTATTTTGTGGTTGCTGATAAATCAGAAAGTACTGGGAGCCGGTCTAAACAAGACAAGACGGAACAGTGATTGGGAGCAGCGACCTCTAAGCCAATATCAAGTAATCTCCCTCTCACTCTCTGCACACGCGCTAATGCAGGATGAGGAGATAACTTTTTTTTAATTATTTGATGAAATGCATTTATTTCTGCTTTGTTATTAGTTATCAGTTGTGGCTTGAGTCAAATATTCTGAGAATTTTTTCTTGATTAATAATATTGAAATTAGGATGGGATTAATATTTCTTATTTTTTTAATTCATAAATAAGTGCATAGTTGGTCATTATCACGTGCGCCCTTTCGTATTGATTACTATGAGATTTCTGCTATACTGATACAGCAGTGAGGCCGCAAAAAGCTCAAAAGAGGAAAACTAGTTCCTAGTTCCATTAATGCATGCCTCCTGATCTGACAAAGGAGTGAATTATTTCTATTTAATATTTATAAACAATGATGCTTAAGAGTAATTTTGTGAAACTGATCATGGAGCGCAGAATGAAGTATTTTTTTATGATAATTTGTGCATCTGCCAATAATTTTTAGTCTGTCAACAATCTAAAGCAATGCTAAATGTGCAGCTAGAATATGCTGCCCTTGATGCTGCTGTGCTTATTCGCATATTCAGCCGCATTTCTGGTGAAGCAGATGACAAGTTTGAGTGGAAGTCGTATATTGTAAGTGACTGTACCTGTATTTTGATTTGCCAATAATTCGGCCACCCGGTTACCTTTTCCTGATTTTAACTTTGCTAGCGCTTTATAGCTTCCTCTTTTTTTTTTTTTTTTGGGAATACATACTCGGCATTTTCATTATGCTTGCAGTGGTTAATAACCTTTACTGCTTTCTCCCGCCATGCAGGAGTCCCATACCAGAAGCACCAGGAACTCCAAGTACCAGAAGGTAAACTGAAGAAGTTTTGATTCTTAGCTTCGAGGCTAACCATATTGTTTCTTTCCCCACTCAATAGATTCGATCATGTGATGAGCACAGATTCACATCGAAATATAATTTTTAGAAGTTATAAAGGAGCTTCGAGATATAGATCTGTTTTTCCAAAAAGACTGGCAGTGGTGAATATATTTGTTAAATTTTCTAGGTTCGTGTTTTAAAACCAATGTTTGAAATAGTTGCTCAAAATATAATGCTCAGATAATGCCAGCGACTGAGGTGAGGGTGAGAGAGATGATTCTGAGCGACTGACCCATTAGTAAAATTAGGTTTTTACCCACAAATAATTGTAGATGGATTTTTTTTAAAGAAGATAATATTCTTCGTTTTAATATTTAAAACCTACTGAAATATACTGAAAAATATTACGACAATGAAAATCCGTTTGTAGTGCACGTGCATGTGTGCGGGGATTGGTGTGATGATCTTGGAAGCCGAATCCGCCAAAGGAACATAAACTCGGTTTGTGTCCCGGTTTGACTTATGGCATTGGATGAAATCCAAATAAAGAAAGCGGCTCTGGTTAAGCATTAACTTCTATATTTAGTGGAAGAATCAGAAATTGATGGCAGGCAGCCAACACGGGTAAATAGGGTGAATCCCATCAGCAGAACACACGCCATGTTCAACGTAATCGGTGGTGATTGATAAACGTTGTCAGTTTCCCGTGTATTAACTATAAAACATATTTCCTCGCATTTCGCCGTACCGGATCCCTCCAGACAATAACCTCCCCCGGTCCTCTCGTCTCTGATCGGGGATGGACGAGATCCGGCCCCACTTCGGCGGCAGCACCGTGCGTTATTCATCTCACGACGACGCATATTGCCGGAGAGAGGTAAATAACCAAAGCTCATCCCAGGGGAATTGGTGGAATGACCCTGACACCAAGAGAATGCGAAGATTGGCTAAGTACAAGCTTTACGCGACTGAAGGCAAGCTCAAGACTTCTTTCAAAAGGGGTCTTCGCTGGCTCAAGATCAGATGCGTCGCAATTATAACCACCTTGTAAACAGAACACACGCAGTAGTGCATATGGGCTCCGACTTCATTTTCTCCTTCCTCTGTGATCCACCTGATTTAGAGGTCCTTCCGTTTAGGATTGGCACGGCATGACCTTCGTCTAACCAATACTTGGCTTTCGATCTCGGGACCTTCAAGCTTTACGCGATGGAATTGTACCTGAATGCTGTATCGGGTGAAGGTTTTTCCTTTGGCCAATGGGAAGAAGTCAAGCATTATTGGGTGCTCATTTCTTAGATATTAATGTCAGGTTGCAGGTTAAGCAGAGCAGGAATAAAAGCGCGGAACAACCATTCTGCTCTTCTATGTTGCGATTTCGGTCGAATAAGAAATCTCATTGATTCTCAAATAATGTGTTTAAATTAACTGTCATAAAAAAAATTTAAAAAAAAACACCAAAACGGTGCAGTCACATCCAAGGATCGAATGTTAAGCAGATTCAATTTAGGACTGGTTTTGAAATAGTTTATAAGTAATTTTTTAATCGTGATTTACAAAATACGAGATAAGTATATGAGAGGTGTTTTGTCTCCGTTTATGTAAAATGTGTTTATAAGTAATCTTAATTGTAATAGCAAACATGGCCTTAATGCAACGTCAGAAGCAGCGACATTGGAGCAGTGAAATTAATCGCCACTGTCAATGATGAGCAGAGACACGTGGAGCTCAGTTGTTTCAGGCCCGACATTTTGACAAACAATAACAGATTTGATTTACATAATACTACTTCTGATTTTTAATATAAAACATATTTAATTAATTTATAAAAATTAAAAAAATAGTTAATTTAGTTTTTTATAATAAATATGTATTTTTTTTAAATATTCGTACTAATTATGTGTACTTAGTTAAAACTATTATTTGATACAACTTTTAACATACATAACTATTATAAGGACTGCTTTTAAAAAAATGAATAAATATGAAAAACAAATAGATTAGAGCTTTATATTTATGATTAAGTTAAAATTTAAATTAGTTTTTATATTTATGATCAGAAGTAGTATCGAGTTATCCCGGATTTTTTGTACCAAACAGAAGTTATGCCGGACTCAAGGTTAATATCTAGTTATGGGGCATGTACAAATACGTTTTTCCTCTTTAAAAACAAAAAAGAGGAATGATATTTCGGCCTTTCGGGGGCTCGATCCTTGTAACTCTCTGGGTCTATTTGGGCTTAGCCCACTTATTCTCACCCCAAAAGAAAATTCATATCCTGCGTCTCAGGCAGACTTCAAAGCGGCAAAGCGCGGGAGAGCGGACCGTGGAATCGGAATGGGAAGCGGGAAGAAACACGATCTGGAGCTTGAGAAAGTTCGTTTAGTGAGCTTGGCTCTTGATTTTGGCTTCGACGAAGACTCCGCCAAAAAATGCTTGGATCGCCTTGTCGCCCTATACGGTACTCATGTTTCCACCCACCATTTTAACACCCTCTCTCCTTTTTCTAGTTTTCTGTAAAGTATTGCTTCTCCATGCACTGGCTTCGATTTCTTTACTTGTATCGTAATTCAATTTCTGAGCTCATCTTTTCCCCTTATTAACCAGTGGCATGCTTTTTATTTTTTCCTTAAGGGTGAATTACGGGTTATGCTATAACTATGGGTCTCTCTTTTTCCCCATTCGTTACTTGAACTTTAAGGGTAGTTATTGAAACGGAATGTAAAGGTGTGTACTGTTGAACATCTTTGCATTTGGTATACGTAATTTGTTCATAACCTGCTAAGAATGTGCTGCACCTGGTAGTTGTTCATGGACTCTCTTATGCATGAATTTGTCTTAATCTACTGTTTGTGTCTTTGAAAAGAAAGGAAGGGGGGGTTAGCAGGGGATAAGTCTGAGGACTATACAAAACAAAAGGGGGACGATATTTACGTCAAAAAGCCATATATTCCTATTGATACTAGAAGACATGTCCATGTCTAATAAAATTTCGCTCTTCCATGAGAAATGGTTTTCCTCCCCATTGCAGTTATTATAACCAGCTATAGTACTTCTCTGTCCATTAACAACATTGTCACGCTTATATGCATTTTTGCTTTCAATTTTTAGGTGATGACGGCCGGGATTTTATCACTGTGGAGTACTGCGGTGATGATTTTCTAGCAGCTTTAGCTGATTCAATGCAAGATACTGAGGAATGGGATGATTTACAGGCAATAGAATCAGAAGCTTGTGGAACTCTGACGAACCTGCTTGATAAAAATGTTGTCGGGTGTAAGTATGAAGATAATGGCATTTCAGGAGGTTGCATCAATATTACCGAGGATTCTCCGGAACCTCAGAAGAACCAGAAAGTGGTGGAGTTGGTTTCAAGTGACGAGGAGATGGACTTCAGTATTTCAAGGGAAAAATGTACACCTCCAGGGTCTTATTTGAATGGTAATATATTTGCAGATCATCAGTCTCCAGTATCAGGGGTAAGAAATAATTTGATGAAGTATTCGATGTTATTTATGTTTTATGGTCCTAAAGTCTTGAATCGCTTCTCATTGCTCATTTGATGTTGCTACATTGTGTATTCAATCAAAAGCCTAGTGTGTCAGACAGTTTTTCGTCAATCAATGTTGGCCTGGCCTTGTCATACTCAAACAAGAATTTTCCCTGTTTTCGCAATGAGAACTGGTATTAAGATAATTTGGATTGGTGGGCGGCGTTAACAAAAGAGAAATAACAAGCCATTAAATCATGATCATTGACATATAATACAATAGAAGACAAATACAAAGTAGCTTGTTGGGAAAGTGTGAATGGTGCGTGTAAGAGATTTAAAAATAGAGATAGGATGAAACACCGTTAAATTATTGAAGTACATAGGATAGCTCCATGGATGAGGAAAGACTAAGTGGCAAATGTGAAAAAAAGGCACATAGTCATGTTTCTAAACCTACATCAAAACGTGAGATATGATAGATCTGCACATGTAACACTGAACGAATCAAATTTTTATGTAGATGTTAATATCTGTACACGTGCAAATGACACATGCATACGTAGTTGGAAAACTATGATGGATTTGAAAGCATGCACACGCATATTCTAATACTTTAATGTTAGACTTCTATAAAACCATGCAAGATATTTTTGTTTTCGGAGCTGAAATAAAACCATGCATGATGATTGAAGGAACTTTAATATAATAAAATTCAATACTAGAAACGAATTGGACTGAAAATGTAACTCAATCGATATGGCAGTGATCAAAATTCAAAATTCCCCTGATAAATTGGGAGCCATGAATTGTCTCCAAAACATCTAGATAGGATTTTCGCCTGCTCTTCTTTGTTGGATCACCAACTGAATAACTTGTTATCATCTACTAAAATGGTTATGGTATATTGAAGGACTGCAGAAGTAGCATCACTCAGGGCTCAATTTCTTCAACTGCCAGCAAAATAAGGTTGTCAGAACCTAAGGATGAAAGCCGTACTCTCACTTATGAAGAATTACGGGATCTGGATAACATTGAAATGGCAAATGTTGTTATATTCGGTAATAGGACATTTCGACCATTGCAGCATCAAGCTTGTAAAGTAGCTTTGGCAAAGCAAGATTGTTTTATTCTTATGCCTACGGGGGGTGGTAAATCTCTTTGCTATCAGGTCCTTTCTCCCTCCTAAACGTTCGATATAAATCTTCTTCGTATTTTTTGTGCCGTATGCATCTATCCTCATAAACTGTTGAGACTTAGCTATAGCAAATAGATATGTTATAACTCCTTTTTCAAAGACATAGAAAAGGGTAAACAAAATACATTTTCTTTGTTGAAGTTTGCGAGTCTTGAGCACATATTCTTACAAACTTTTCGCTAAACCTGCCTCTGGTTTGCAACAAGTTAGTATCAAAAATGTCTATTAAATTTTACAAAAGCAAAAAAAAAAAAAAACTATTTTTTCCGTTTATAAATTACTGCTTCAATTTCGAGCATCGTTTATTTTTACTCCCACTATCAGAAAAGATTCAGAAGTGGCCATTACTGAACTCCCAAGTAGGTGGAGCTGATTTTTCCACTTTACAGGCAACGACTCTCTTGCAACAAATACTTGCATATGCTCATATCTTCCCATAGAATAATATACCTTTTTCATCTGCAGAAATATTTTGGTGACATGGAACCATTTGACTTATTGTGTATCGTTTTGTACATTACGTTCTTCGTTGTACTACTTTGTACTCCCTCTGCCCCTAATTGCAAGTCCTAGTTTTTCTAAGCACATATGCCAAGAAAACACTGAAATCTAGTTAATGTGTGAAAATTTGTTTCTTATTTCTGGTTCTACCCTCAATCAAGTGCCACTATTGGAAAGTGTATTTCTATTAGGCAAGACATGTAACTGTGATCCTTTATCAGGGGTATTTTGGAAAAATGTTTAAATTCCACCTAGAACTTTGTAATTAGACTTATAATTAGGGACACGGCAAATCTAAAGACAGGGAGTAATAATTACGGAGAGAAGGAGTATTTCTTCAAAGTCTAATGTTTCCCTTTTGTAGTCAGAATATGATCGTCTCTTTTGGAGTTGCTCTATGCATCCAGACTTTGTTGGATAAAGGAAACTTACGTTCTATTAAACGTGCTTTATTTTGTACTTACAGCTTCCAGCCACTCTTCAATCAGGTGTTACAGTAGTTGTATCTCCCTTACTTTCACTCATTCAGGACCAGATAATCACATTGAACCTCAAGTTTGGAATACCAGCTACTTTTTTGAATTCTCAGCAAACTACTTCTCAAGCAGCAGCTGTCCTTCAGGAGCTAAGGCAAGATTTAGTTCCATGTTTATACTTATTATGATCTGTTCTATAATATCCCCTAGAATTCCCTGGAAGAAAAATCACCTCTCAGGTTGTTGATTAATATCTTGTTTAATAAATATTTTCTTACATCAATTTTCTTGTATCTAGAAAAGTCAAACCATCATGCAAACTCTTGTATGTGACGCCTGAGAGAATTGCGGGCAATCAATCATTTCTTGAGGTTCTAACATGCATGCATAACAAGGTACGCTTCTCTGAATTCTGAATGCTTATTTAGAAACCTTTTCGTAGGAGCTTTGGAGTATGGATATTTAATATATAAGTTTGGTTGGTTCTCTCCTCAGGGACAGCTAGCAGGTTTTGTTGTTGATGAGGCGCACTGTGTTAGGTATATCCTGTGCTTTGTGGACAATATGTAACTTTTAGTCTTCAAATATTTGGAACTTCTTGGAAAACTGACTTCACTATTGTTCAAGCTATACAATTCTTTTTGTATTGTGTAACTACTTGTACGAGACATTCAGTATTTATCACTTCCAAATTTATAATTATGCTCACAGCCAATGGGGACATGATTTCCGGCCTGATTATCGGGGACTAGGATGCCTTAAGCTGAACTTTCCGGATGTGCCTGTCATGGCGTTGACTGCCACTGCAACCCACTCTGTCCGCGAGGTAATGGAATGCCATATAGCTACGATGAACTTTTCTTTTCTTTTGCTTCTAAGTTATCTTATGTCTTCGCAATTTAAATTTGTTTCAGGACATCTTAAGCGCTTTAAGAATCCCCCACGCAATTCTTCTTGAAAGAAGCTTTGATAGGCCAAACTTGAAGTATGAAGTAATTGTTAAGACAAAGGAGCCGCTAAAGCAGCTTGGGAAGCTAGTAACGGATCGCTTCAAGAATCAATGTGGAATTGTTTACTGCCTTTCAAAAAGCGAATGTGTTGAGGTCTCAAAATATTTGAACCAGAAATGTAATATTAAGACGGAGTATTACCATGCTGGCTTGTCTGCCCGCCAAAGAGTTTCTGTTCAAAAGAAATGGCACGAGGGAGAGGTCCATATTGTTTGTGCAACTATTGCTTTTGGAATGGGGATAGACAAGCCTGATGTTGTAAGTCGAGTTAACTTCTTAGTGTTCAATTTTAATTTTATTTGTATTATTATGATAATGATGCTATCTTCTCAATTTGTGAAATTCTGTCTTCAAAAGAAATTTGATAACCCAGAATTTCTGTTTCTAATATATTTGCAGAACCTTTATCTCCAACTCTTTTTTATAACTTTAAGCGGGACTCTTTTTCTTTGCAAGCTGGCTATTGCAGTCCTGATAGACAACCATATTTTAAAAGGACATTTATGACAACTAAAACTCCTAATAATCTTATCCGTCGGGCTGAAGCACATTGTTGAATGCACCAGCCTAAAATATAAAACGAAGCATTTTAGACTGGATCTTCCTCATAAACTAGTCAACTGATTCTAACTGCGGTGAAATTAAACGCTTGTTTAAGTAGGTCCGAGTCATGAGGGTCTCTCAGTACTTGATTATTCTTTTGTGATATCTTTCAGCGCTTCGTCATCCACAATACGTTGTCTAAATCAATTGAAAGCTATTATCAAGAATCAGGAAGGGCTGGAAGAGACAATCTACCTGCAGTTTGCATTGCTCTCTACCAGAAGAAGGATTTTAGTAGAGTCGTATGCTTGATAAGAAATGGCCAAGGTTATAAAAGGGAAAACCTTAAGTCGGCAATCGCTCAAGCCAAAAAGATGCAACAATATTGTGAACTAAAGGTGAGCAAGCTCCTTTTCGTTTCAGTATCTGATTTATTCTCTCTGTCATATCCTGCGCAGACAGTTTATTTATAAGAATTTATATATATAGGATGAATGCCGGAGGCAAGCTTTACTCAAACACTTTGGAGAATCTCTTGACAGAAAAGCCTGCAAATACGGATCTAACCCCTGTGATAACTGCCTCAAGAATGGTCTGTGAGCCGCTGTATATTGCAAGCCTGATCTTCGAAACCATCTCCATGGAGCAACGCCTTTTCTGTTATTTATTTTTCCTTTCAGCTTTGTAGTTCACCTCTTCCACCATATCCTGTAAACACCCTTTCAAAGCGCAGTTAAAAAAAGATAGCTTTTCATTTTTCTTTACCGAAGTTTTTTTTTTTGGGTCTGAAATGTAGTCTTTTATTGGTCACCCAAAAACTGTCGGTCGTTAAAAAAGGACCCCAGGCGGTGTGATGAGGACCCTAGTTTTCAGAGAAAGTAAGCTTTGGACACAATTCATTCATTCTGCAGGATCTTAACTGATTGTGACCAAAAAAAAAAAAAAGCATGACCCGCATTTAAATTATCCGCAAGTGTCTGGTCAGTTCAACGGGGGCATAACAATAGCTTAATCTTATAAGATCCAGATATCAATAAACTAGAACTAGAATATTATGTCTCGGATTGTTCCTACTAAAGAAATGTCTCAACTAAAAATAAAAGCTTCTCCTGTCACAGTATTAGAGTTCGTTTGGAGGGCATTCTCATGAGGAAGTTTTGCGGAATGGAAGGTAAAACACTTCGGAATCTAGGATGCCTGAGATAAAATGTTATCCAAAGAAAGATGATAAATCGAGCGGGAAAAATAATTGTTACAATATAAGAAACGCAACAAAACATTAAAAACAAAGTTGTAGCTCTGGGGTCCCTCCAGCTTCTCAGAGACTGAAGTCTTTCTCCCATAGTTGCCACCTCATTTGCCATTCTTTGTGCAGTCCCTCCAACGGCTCGCAATCGATCATATCTTCTTCTCAAACGCTCTCCTTCGAATTGACTCGGAAACATGTCAAATTCTTCTTCTAAATCATCAGGACTTGCTGCATCAAGACAGGACAATTCTGCATCTATGTAAGGAGGATGCTTGGGCCTCTTGAAGTAACACTTCAGCCCAAGGGAAAAAGGGTAGAAAATCCCCAAGGGTAACAGTGGTTTCGGAAAGAGAAGCACAAGAATGCAGAGCAAGTAAAATAGAAAGGTCGTAAGAGGATTCTTCCAGTATCTAACATCCTCCAACCACTTCCACAAGGAAACAAAGCCACCCATAAGATTCTTGATCCTCCTCAGAGTAGCTTGACCTTTTCTCATGCTCCACATGGCTGATCTCACATCCAGCATATCAAACACCACCTCTCTATGCAACGGCGGTTCTGCACTGCTCAATCTTAGCGATGTAACATGAGCAGCTTGGTTTCTTAAATTATCAATCTGAGTTGGAGACAATGGGAAAATGTAATGGTGTCTGGGAAACAGAGGCAGTATGTAGAATTGATGCACATTAAGGAAAGACCAAAACGGCCAAGAGAACCTGAGGGCCAAATGGATTTCTCCCATGTTCTTCACTCCCGATGGTTGCAGACATATGAGAGGATAAGAGTGGGTGTATATTTTGCTACGCTCAAGCATGGACAGTCGAATTCGTATCTTACCCATCAAGGTATCCATTGCTCCTCTAGCCCTGTTCTCTGCATCTAGTTGATTGTTGTGGAATACTGCAATAGTAATAACTGTGTATGGATCATAAACCTCCCACATGTACTGTTCGTTCCACACAGGAGAAAGACTGTCAACTATTGTCCTTGTGCGAACCCACTTGGGACCATACTTAGCCACACAATATGCATGGGTTCGAGCCCCCATGTTCATTGGCTCCAACCCAGATGCCTTTAACAACCCCAACTCTAAAACCCCAATGCTAGGTCTCCAAAGCTTCTTTGCCGATGCTCTGAAATCGCTGCAATACTCAGTATGCTCGTCCAGCACGTGATATGCACCGTCCAATGAGATCCTTGCGTTGAACTTACTAGCAAACACTACCTCTTGGGAAGGATCAATCACACTAGGCCCTGGCTTGTCAAGGTTGTACCATCTACTTGCCACCCCTCCACCATCTAATCTCTTATCCACGTTTTTCAGAGGAATCACACACTTTCCTAAACTTACATGGTCAGCTAAAGTCCCTTGCTCTACGCTGATTACTAAGGACTCCTTGAACGGCTCTTGTGCTACAAACATCAAGTCCTCATTCCATAATGGGTTTGGGTTCTTCTTCTTAGAAAAGCTTGTTCTTAAACGCAAGCGCCCCAGATCAACTTGGACGAATAAATCTGAGCTCTCAGGATGAAATCTAAGGAGCAAATCTTGAGCTTGAATCACATTGACTCTGAGATACCATAATGTAGGTAAAATATATACCTTGGAATAAGTATAAGCAACAGTATCAATGCTAATCGAAGTACTATTTGAGAGCCAAGCTTGAGGAAAAAACTCATCTGCTTGAGTGCCCATCCACACAGCCAACATGACATCACCTGATACAAGTAGTGTCCCGTTCTGATCCTCGAGCTTATACCACTGCGGTGCCAATGGACTCTCCGGCGGTACTCGTTTCGGGGCATCAGGCACGAGAAACCGAACCCGACCCACGATTGCATGGGGCGTGACCATTCTGTCTCTTACGACAACCTCGAGATTCAAGTCCTGAATTCTGTCTTTCTCGAAGGCGAAGACTTGGTTCCATACAGGGAATGACGTCCTCTGAAAGAAGCGATCGATGGTTCCTTTGTAGTTTCCAAGTCTGACTTCGACGTAAGGAGCGCATGGAGGCAAGTCTCTGGCCCTGACAACTCTGACGTACAAGAACTGCATTTGTTCGACCAGATCATATCTCCTTGTGAGTATGTCTCTCTCAGTGGGTAGTCCAACACTGATGTTGGGAGAAGTCTCCCTTGGACCAAAGTTTGCCATTTCTAAATCTGCAAAAGGACGTGGTTTGATCAAGAGCACGAAGAGTTTAGTAAGCTAAAACATGATTCTTTGATTTAAGTTTTACTATTCCTGCATATATTGAGATGATGCGTGAAATTGGAAACGCAAATCAGCTATCTCAAGTCTCCAAAATTCTGAAAATAGGAAAGGAACGAAAATTCACCCAATCCCCAGTAATTAGGCACATGACGGGGAAATCTGGCTGCAGATTGCCAGTACAAGTATGAAGTAATGCTTTTTGTATTGATTAGAATCTTACAATGCAATCGTATATCTTAAAAATATTAAGATAGAACAATATAATATTATTATTATGCGTGATGATTTATATTTATTTTTTAAATTTATTATGTACAAATACCTTTTGCAATTGCAAACAATCCAATACCGAAGGAAGAATCCAAATTTCATCTGTGTTGAAACGCGATTATTTTTTCCAACAGTCTTTTTTTTTTTTTGGTGTAAGAAGTCAATTTTATTAATCACCCAAAAAAAAAATTACAATCACTAGTAGCCAAAAGCAAAAAAAAAAAAAAACACTAAAAAAAATCTAAAAGTACAACCTATCACACCATCTGAACCCGAAAAACAAACTTACATATGTTAACCCAAAAAAAAAACTCACACAACTACAAAAAACAGAACAAAACCAGAAAAACCAGAAGCAAATAACAAAGCAGACACCTTCAAATAAGTAGCTCCGTTAACCAACACCACACCTGTCAAAAATTCCACCTGGGACAGAAGTATTCAGTGCTGAGTTCCCTACCCTCCTGTAGAATTCATCCGAGCCTTAACTGAGAAATTAATAGGTTAACGAGATTTTTAATAAGAAAAGAGATTCATTTAGCTTGATCGGAACCAATTAAAAATATAATGAAAAAAAATTTTGCAGGCCTGCAGGGCCAATGGCAATAAGCAAAATAGTTATAAAAAGCAGCATATATGCAAGTGTAATGAAAAGAGGAACAAATTATCTATCTTTTTGCCATCAACGAAATATCTAATAAACTTTATATAAACATAAAAATGCTAATTAATTGAAATTAATCCTAACAAGTTTCTCCCAAAATAGAAAGTCCATAACTTGGCGGAGGGGTTTCATTAAAGCACAGATTACGACAACTTATCATTGCAACAATGGCCTAACAAATAAGATAATCGAATTACAATCATTACGTGATGATAGCATATTCCAGATTGCGGCCTTAATTAATACTCCTCCGGTCCTTAATATAAGAACCAATTTTTGAGTTGGTTTTGATCCTAAATATAAGACTCATTTCTTATATTTATCAATTTCTCTAAATTACTTCTATGATATTCTCTCAACCATAATCAAGTAGAAGAAGGAGAGTATTAAGAAAGATGATTATGGTGTTTTAGGAAAAATGTCATTTTTTTATAATTAACTAACTTACGTAACTTCTTAATCTAATCAAATTAGTCAATGGGTCTTATATTAAGAACCAGAAAAGTACTATAATATAGCATTTGATGTGATTGTGGTCTAATAATAAAAGGATACAATTCAATTACAAGTCTGACTTTTTAAAATAAATCTAAACAGACAATAGTGTATCAGTGGGCAATCTAGGCAACAATCATTTAAATCTAATTTAAGATTGGTGAATAATAAACGCGTGATTATAAAAGGAATATGCCGACATAAATCAATGCGCATCACGTTATAAGGGGGAGCTGGCGGGGCAGGTAGGGCTTTGGGGAAAAAAGACATAAGTTGGGCTCAATTGAACCAGCCCACAATCTGTGAATTTAATGTCAGTCCGAGACCTAATTTTGAACGTGAATTTATCTTTTTAAAACCTCAAACACGGAAATATGCAAGGTAATAAAAATCAGATCGGTCATTAAACTGATCCAAGTCGAAGTAGTGAGTCAAGAATAAGTAGATTAGACCGGCGTCAACCCTAGAGTCAAATCAATAAGAAATAAAAATAAATAAAAATAATAATTTAAACTTGTATATCACAATGTCCAATAATTAAATATTAGAATAGTAAATTGGATTACTGATAAAATAATCATATACTAGCAATTTTTTTCCAACCTTCTATGCAAATCTTCCGACAAATTGAAATCATAATATCATACTACTTTCGATATTTAATATAAGACTTTATTTGACTTTTATTTTAATTTTAAATATAAAACCTCAGCCCACTTTGTCTTTCATATTTATTTATTTTTTTTCAAAATAGTCTCTCTAATAATGGTAATTCCAGCCAATAAAATTGATTAGTAAGAATATTTAAAAAAAACAACACTTATTTATTATAAATAACTAACTTAACTTTTTTTTAATCTACTCAAATTAGTCAACTAACTTTTATATTTAGAATTGAAAATAGTACTATCAAAATTACTAAATGTTCATTCTAGCAAAATATTAAAATAGAACGTGATAACAAAATACTTCTTCCTACAATCCTTCAATCACTAAGTAATAATTATTAACCGCTTAAAAAAAATTTCATCAAAATAATTTAAAAACAAAAAAAGGAAAATACAATTGAGTGAATTCATCAAACTGGTCTGATTAATTGAGTCGCTCTCAGGTTGGTACCGATCATCTCAAGTCAATTTTTTCTGATTCATTTGGGTGGACTGGCCAGGTTACCAATTTCCAGTCTAATCCGATTTTCAACATGGTGGAAATGTATTTTAAATTTGAACCAAATGCGCAGAAAGGGACTACGTCAAAGGGAAAAGGCCGGATTTTTAAAAATTAAACTGACAACGCTTTTGACCCTTGAAAACTTACGAGATTACCATGAACCATGGGAAGCTGGGTTCTTCGATCTCTGGGAACCTTCAGTTTTTGTGTTTTTTTAATCTAAATTCCAGTTTTTGTTTTGTCCATTCGTTGTTAAATACCGCTTCTCCAATGAAATCATTGATCAGCCCCCAATCGGTAACATTACGCATCCACGTGTTAAACAACTTTCTCGGTCACAGAAGAGAAGTTTGATTCCTCAAAAGAGAGTGGACAGCTCACAGTTCTGTCTCTTCTTCTCTGTCCCACTCTCTAATTTATTATTGCTTCACTCTCAGCCTCTTGAGCTAAACCAAACACTTCTCTTATTACTCTATCTATACTTCTTTCACTCTGCTTACTCGCTTCATCTCTTATTCTCGTTGACTTTCCCTTTATACTTCTCTCTCTCTCTCTTTTTTGTGCCCCACATAACCTCGATCTCCTCATAGACTTTTCCAAAGGTTCTCCATTGCAGACCAAGTGGTGTTGCTTTCTCCCTTCTCTTGTTTTCCTTTTCCTTGTCTTGTTCTAGGCTTCCTCGCTTTGTCTTGTATCTCTCATTCATTTCTCGGTTTGAATATATCCATTAAGGAAGAGAGGTGAATTAGGGAATAAAGAGAAGAGTCGTAGAAAGTTTCAGTTGAGATTGACAGATGAAATGGTAGCATAGATACTGGATGTCTGGTGGGATTGACGAAAATACTGCGACAAGTCAGAATTTTTATCCAATCTTAAGGCCACCTATTTTGAAAAGAAGCTGGATTTTGGAAATGTATAGCGTTTGCAGTTTCTGGTTGCTAGAATTGAGAGAAAACTTGTGTTCTTGTGAGAAGGGGGTTCTCCGAATGAAACATTTTTGATAAGATTGGGATCGAATTTTACTTTTATTGTGCGTGTTAAAGTTGGATGCTGGTTTTCTCATTACCCATTGCACTTTTTGGCCTTAGTCAATGCTCGATTTACATGATTCATTTTTCTCTTGTACTTGGGGATGCTCTCTCCAGACTTGCCACACTCACGTAGATTTGGGTCCTTGAGATAACTTAGGGATTTCAGCAGGCCATACTCTATATGCTTTTGTTTTGTTGAGCAAAATAGAGACTGATAAGAGACATTCCAAGGGAGGCTTCCTCAGTTTGTTTGACTGGAACAGAAAATCTCGAAAGAAGCTATTTAGTGACAGTCCAAAAATACCTGGTAATTATCTTCTACCCCTACTTTTAGTTCATTGTTTTATTCAGTGTATATATCAGACCGTAACCTTGCCTATTATGCTTATCTGTTGAATCCTTTTCAACGTTTAAATCATTCTCTACTGCAATTGTGGGTTTACCTATTTTAAGTATGTTTGCTACATTAACCGTAGAAGAATCAATGCAAGGAAAGGAAAATGCAGAGAGCACGGCAAAGCCAGTTTGTTGTGGCCTTACTTTTTATCTGTGAGATTTATTCTCGTTGTTAATTATTACAACTATTTCAAATGCATGGGGATGGGGAAGTTGCAAGTCCAAGTTACATAACAAATTGTGATTTTAGTGGTGTGCTATCAATTAATAGTGATGAAGGATGTGGTGCTAAAGCCCCTGGACTAATGGCAAGACTGATGGGTCTGGATTTGTTGCCTGCTTCGACAATCCCTAAACTCTCATCCGCTGCATTATATGGCTCTGACTCTCTTGGATCTTGTCATGAGGATGTTCTTGGCTCAATGAATGGCTATCAACATGTAGACTACATAAATATGCTGCGTAAGCCAGAGAAGTCCTTAATGAATGCCATGGAATCGAGGACACAAAAAGTAGCAAATCGAGCAATCAAGAAATTTCAAACTGAGATGTTGCCTCCAAACTCAGCTAAACCGATTCTCGTTACTCACAATAAGCTCTTGTCCCCTATCAAGAGTCCAGGATTCATCCCCCCAAAGAATACAGCCCATATAATGGAAGCAGCTGCTAAGATAATTGAAGCAAGCCCTTAGCCATATATGAAGAACAATATGTCATCGGCTGGGCCTTCATCTCTTCCCTTGAGAATTCTTAATTTGAAAGAGAAAATGGAGGTTGCACAAAGCGCATCCATGCCTGAAAAGCCTGTGGATTCGAGCATTGCCAACCCTGTCAAAGGCAAGCGTAGTGGCAGGAGCAATAATTCATATAAGTGCACTCCAGCATTCAAGGATTTGAGAAATTCTGAAAAAAAA